GGGATGATTTCATGAACAGAAGGGTATATCCTGCTTTTTGTGACTGTGAAATAGTCAGATTTCTTTAGTGTTTTCTGTGACCATTTGCGAACATTGTGGTCAGCATATTAGAATGATTTCTGAAGGATCATGTGACACTGAAGACCGGAGTAATGATACTGAAAATTCAGCTTTGCATCACAGGAATAAATTTCATTTTATGTAAACTAAATTTAAAATGAATTCAAATAGAAAAGTTATTTTAAATTGTAATATTTCAAAAAAATAGTTGGTCAATAATGCAAGAAGCCAATAACAAGGAGTCATTTTTCCAGCTAAAGTCTTGACACCAATTGGCATGTCGTGCCAGGTTAGGATGTGTGTTTGAGAGGGAACGGGAAAAGGAAGACAGAAAAGATCATAAGAACTCAGGAGGAGCTCAGTCACATTAAAGGGATAGTTCACCCAAAAATGAAAATTCTGTCATTAATTCCTCACCCTCATGTTGTTCCAAACCCGTAAGACCTTCGTTCATCTTCAGAACACAAATTAAGATATTTTTGATGAAATCCGAGAGCTTTCTGACGCTGCATAGACATCAAGGGAACTACCACGTTCAAGGCCCAGAAAGGTAGTAAGGACATCGTTAAAATAGTCCATGTGACATCAGTGGTTCAACTGTAATTTTATGAAGCTACGAGCATACTTTTTGTGTGCAATGAAAACAAAAATAATGACTTTATTCAACAATTTCTTCTCTTCCGGTCAGTCTCCGCCGCCATTCACGAGAGTACCACGACATATGTGTGTGCATTCCTCTGCTTGTAAACAAGCCGCAGCACATCAGGGTTCTACGTCATAACGCCAGCTCCTGGATCAGCAGCAGCACCACATGGTACTCTCGTGAATGGACTATTGAATGGACTATGGACTATTTTAACAATGACCTTACTACGTTTCTGGGCCTTGAACGTGGTAGTTCCCTTGCTGTCTATGCATGGTCAGAAAGCTCTCGGATTTCATCAAAAATATCTTAATTTGTGCTCTGAAGATGAACGAAGGACTTACGGTTTTGGAACGACATGAGGGTGAGGAATTAATGACAATTTTCATTTTTGGGTGAACTATCCCTTTAATAGTGGAGAGAGAGAGGACTCACTGTGCTCTTCTAACAGTGACACTTCACTCTCACACACACACACACACACACACATACACACACAACTTTTTCAGACTGGCAGGTTGCCCACCTGAGCATCCTTGAACATTCTTTTGAGGTTCTTCTGCATCTGTTTGAGTTTACGAGACTGAACTCCACTGTAGGCCAGCAGCATTCCTCCAAACTGCTTCTCTGTGATCCTGCCGTCCACTGGATCATTCCTCTCAAACTACACACACACATACACAGAAGAAATGCTGAATAATGGCCTCAGAAGTGAATCTTGTGCTCAGCTGGTCAATATCATTTACAATTCATGTTCAACTGAATACTTAAGCATGGGCACAGCTGCAGCAGGTTATAAAGGATTGGAGGATTTAAAGTAGCTGACAGCAAAAGTCGATCACCTCTCTTTGGTTGGAATGCATTAGGGTTTGACCATTAGATTAACTGAAAATAAAAATTTCCATCATGAAAAACAAGAGTGAAAAAAATGACAGAATTTTCATTTTTGGGGTGAGCTATTTCTTTAAAAGGGACACACAGCTCTGGTCTAAACAATTTTTACTTCATTATTAGTGACTGTCAGGCTGTGAGACAGGTTTAGAAGCTCAGTCTGAAAATGAGACTGTCCTGTGGGTGGGAGCTGTTAACAGATAGAAGGTGGGTGAGATTGAGGAATATCCGACAAAGCACAGAGCTGCAGCCTCAGCACATCTCAAAGAGCAGATAAAGAGAGAGTCAGACAGTGATCTACCAGCGTCTGTGTCAGCGGCTGTGAAGCACTGACACTCTGTCAGTCCCTGAGGAAGTTACATCACATCCAGTGTCACTCACGCCGCACTGCTGCCAATGGCTCTCAAACCCTCACTGACCTTTACATTACCGGTCATCTCTCTTTCTTTCTTTTTTATTTTTTTTTACAAAGCAAGTTGTTTTGGACATGTACCACGGCTGACCAGCTTTTTCCAATGACTTTAGATATCTAAAGAGCAGGTTGACAGATAATGGAAATAATGAAGAATCTGTCTCTCTGTGTTTGTGCTCTGGAGAGTCACAGACATATCTGTTGATTTCTGGAATGCAATGGCCAATCAGAGGTGTTTCGGTTAGTCAGAATCCACTCACCACTCAAAACGCCAGAGTTTTTGTTTCATCCTGAGTTATAACAAACAAAGTGTAGACGTAAATAAGAGATTAATTGATTATAACAGAATTTTCTGACATCGTGATAAAGTGAAATGAGTGACAGCTTTTCAGTGATTATGACTCTTTGCGTGCTTTCTTGGCTAACATATAATCCATTCAGAATTTGAATAAAAGTTTTTTTTTTCATGCTGCTAAGAGGACCAACGCCGTGGCGTACAACCTGCAAAGTTTTAGGAGTGACATCCGCATATAAATGGAGGATTCCCTCTTGAAATCGCAATGACTGATATAGTGATAATCATAACAATGGACTGGACAAAATATGATGTCAAAATAGATGTGCGTGAAGGCTAAAGCACCCTCACTAATTTCAGAAGCACCCTGAGTGATTTGATCCTGAGTGATCCTTCTGGAGCTCCTCCGTGGGACTCGAGACCGGTGTGTGGAGCAGTTGTTGCTCATTAACATTCCACCCCAGCCCTGCTTCATGCCATATGGTCAATACATACCTCTGGTTTTTGACCATGGTTTTCGGTTCGGCTTGGATTTAAGATGCGCTTTTTAAAACTAATAATAATAATAAAAAAACAAAACAAACAACTCCTGTACACTTCTGCACATTGGAACTTGGATTACCATATTTCTTTTGAGATAAGTATTACTTTTTCCTATTTTTACCCAATATAGGATGGACTGCCCATTATTGAGCGCTATAAACACATGTAATGTCTGTTTCATTCATACTGGACACCAGAGGGCGCCCTCGTGCAGAAACTCCATATATGCACCACATAAGTAATAGAACTCATGAGGAAATCCCTAATATGGACAAAGCATCCAGCTATCACTGTGACTGAAGCAGTGTCCGAAAACCGCTCCCTATCCCCTATATAGTGCACTAATATCGGGTGTCGGCCATTTTGTAGTGCTGTCCGAATTCTGAGTGAACGAGTTCATTCCCTACATGAATTCACTACTTTCTAACCACAATCCTCTCTGATTTCAAGTGTACAACTGATGTACACTCACTGAAGCACTACTTCCCATAATCCAATGCGGAGAAACGAAGAGCTGCAAGAGAGTGTTGGGAGCAAGCGAGTTTGAATGAGAGATGCAGTTTACATCTTTCTTATTTCTGCTTTAACGTTTATTGCATGCATGATTAATATTAAAATATATTATTTAGACACTCAGTTTAATGTTTTACTAATTTAACGTACAAAAGATAATAGAGATGTGATGATAATTTGGATAAATTGGCTGGTGAGTGAAAAAGTTAATTTCAAACCCTGTATATATATATATATATATACACACACACACACACACACAGTGGTTTGAAAACCACTGATCTAGACCCTTTTATCACTACCTTTGAGTACTACCTTGTGAGTATTGCTCTATTTCTTTCATTCTTTCTTTCTTCTTTCTTCCCATAACACTAAATTAGGTTTAATGCCTTCTTATTCCACACAGAATAGTGCGTGCTGTCCTGGAAGGGAGGTTGCAGTAGGAAATTATGCATGAGTCTGAGCTTCCATTGGTGACAGTAGCTGACAACTTTCAACCTCAGTTTATTTTTCTGTCATCTCTCATGTGTAATCTACACTTCTCCATCTTCCTCGACTTCTGTGCCATACCTCAAGCTTTAGTACATCGTGCTGTAATTTCTTCTGAAACTCCAGGAAACTGCCGATGGTGAGCTTGCCCTTCAGGTCAGCCCCGAAAAAGTAGGTGGTGAGGGCTGAACTGCAGCCTCCTGTTTTCAGAGTGTTTCCTGTGGTGGAGCGATCTCTATGTCTCATGCCCATACTGGTCTGAGAACGGATGATACTCTGAACCTGGAAAAACAGAAATAATGATTCATGTGAATGACTCATTACATTTATGTAGCACTCTTCTGCAACTCCTCTCAAAATGCTTTAAAGGGAGGAGGAATCTCCTCAACCACCAATGTGCAGCATCCACCTGGACCAGAACACACTCCACACTGAATATCAGTAGAGAGAGAGTAATGCAGCAAAAGAGATGGAGAGGCAGGTGAATGAGGAGGAGGAGGAGAAGAACAAGGAGGATGAGGATGAAAAGAAGACAAAGAAAAAGAAGGAAAAAGGTGAAAGAGGATCATGACAAGGAGGAGGAAAAGGAAAAAGGGGAAAGAGAAGAACAGCAAGGAGGAGGATAAGAAAAGGGGGAGGCTGAAGAAGTGGAGGAAGAGGAAGAGAAGAGGAGGATGAGGAGGAGTAAGAACACGAGAAGGAGGAGGAGGATGAGAAGAACGGGAGGAGAATAAGGAGGAGGGGAATGAGAAGAAGAGGTTAAGAAGAAGGGGCAGGAAGAGGAAGAGGAGGAACATAATTAAGAGGAGGAAGAGGAGTAGAAGATTAAGTAGAAAAAGGAGGAGGAGAAGGTGGAAGAATGAGGAGATAGAGGATGAAGAATAAGGTGAAGAATGAGGAGAAGGATAAAAATGAGGAAAAAATTAGGAGGAGGACGAGGAGTAGGTGGAGAAGAAAGAGGAGGTGGGAGGAGGAAGAGAAGTAGGAGGAAAAGTAGAAAAAGGAGGAGGAGAAGAGGGAAGAATGAGGAGTAGGAAGAATAAGGCGAAGAATGGGGTAGGAGAAAAAGAAGAAGAAAAAGGATGAGGAAGTAGATAGATTGGCAGGAGGAGAAGGATTATGTGGATATGAACAAGAAGAAGCTCTATGTGCTCCTTATTGTTCTTCTATTGGGCTTTCATTTTCTCCTCCTCCTCCTCCTCATGCTGCAGATGGACAGAAAAAGAATGAGGGTTAAGAGGAGGAGAAAGAGGAGGACAGAAAAAGAAGTTCATATCTTCTTCAGTAGCCTCATTCTTTCTAAAGTTACTATTTATCAATCACAGATGAACACTGAACTTAAGCTGTACTCCACGGAAAAGAGAAACAGTGAGGAAGACAAAAGCTCTGGGAGGAATTCAAGGACTCTTTTCAGGGTGAAGGTTTAAATGTTCAGGTGTCCAGGGACCGGTGGAGGTCCAGAAGGAATAATTAGCATTCAAGGGTATTTAGCTCCTGAGGTTCTCTGGGAATATGGGAAGCATGCTGTTTAGCAGTGATGTATGTGCGGTTCTGGGACAGCAACTAAAGATTACTATCAATAAATCAATAAATGACTGCATAAATATATACTGCCATTTAATCAGGGGCTGAAATGCTGCTAAAGATCAAGCATTTTTAGACTGATATATTCCCTTAATAGAGTGTAAGTGTAGCATTTTAAAAGACTGATGTTATGAGAGGGAGTAAAATTTGTTTCCTAAAACAAAAAACTCTAACCTTAAATTCTTCAGTAGGATGATCTGTGATGAACATGTACCTGTGACCTTAGACTATATTTAGGTTAATAAGCATAGTTGTTTAAATGATTAATATTAACAAATGTAATTATATAATCAAACATCAGTCATCTATGAACTCAATATATTTCCGAGTGATGTAAATGTAGTGTGGGATATTATCCATGGGGATTTGATTAGATTGTGAAAAGTGGTTGTTAAATAATCAAGATAGTATGAAGGATTCATCACATAAAGTAATTTTAGAGTTGGAACATACATTTGTTTTTTATTTGGAATATGCACTAATCATACATATTGTAAAAAGACTATTAACATACAATAACAAAGTAAATAGGGTCAATTTGATTTCATGTTGACTTTAAAACTAAGGCGAAACAATGTGGCGACGACACTGAATTATGTGGTTTCAATAGAAACTAGACTGAGTAAAGTTTGAGAACAAACTTTGAAGTTGGCTTGAGAAAGCCTAGCCTGAAAGTTTGAAGCAGCTGTAAAAGCTTGAAGTTTGAAAGTTTAGATGTTGTTAACATGTTGCTAGTATAATTTTTGCATGATTAGCATGTTTCTAGCATGTTTTAAACACGATTTGCATGTTTCTAGCATGATTAGCATGTTTTAGCATGATTAGTATGTCTTTAGCATGGTTAGCATGTTTCTAGCATGATTAGCATGTTGTTAGTATGATTACCATGTTGCTAGTATGCTGTTAGCATGTTTTAGCATTATTAGCATGTTGCTAACATGTTTATAGCATGATTAATATTTTGCTAGCATGTTCTTAACATGATTATTGTTGCTAGCATGTTCTTAACATGATTAGCATGTTGCTAGCATGTTTTTAACACGATTAACATGTTTTTAGCATGTTGCTAGCAAGATTCTAGCATGATTAACATTTTTATAGCATGATTAGCATGTTGCTAGCATGTTTTTAACATGATTTAACATATTGCTAACATGAATGAAAAAAAAACAAGTAAAAAAAACTTTACTAAACCAAGTAAAACCAGGTGATTTAGTAAAAAAAAACAGCTAAAACCAGCTCATTTAACAAAAACCAGCTAAAAACCAGCTAAATCCAGCTGATTAAAAAAAAAAAAAAAAAACTGAAACCAGATCATTTAGCAAAAAAGAAAAAAAAACAGTTAACCAGCTAAAACCAGTTGATTCAGTAAAAAACAAACAAACAAACAAACAAAAGACAGCTAAAACCAGCCTAGGCTGGTTGTCTAATCTTAGGTGGTTTAAGATAAAAATAGCTGTTTTAAGCTTGTTTGGTCTTTAGCAGGTCTCCCAGCTTGACCAGCTAAAACCAGCCTGACCAGCTAAAAAGTGGCCAAAACCACTTTAAAGCCAGCTTGGGAGACCAGCCAAAGCAGCCAACAAGATTAGGTTGGTTTTAGCTATTTTTTCAGTAGGGAATTGTTACGCTTTGCTATAGCAATAGACAGCTTAAATACACCATTGTACAAAGGTTTTCAGCCCCCTCAATGAAAGTCTATGAGATTTTTGGTGGTTTTGATAGTCTGGTTTACAAAAACCGTTAAGTAGCATCAGTTAGAAAAGATATAGCACACCAAGTCAGACCAGTCTGAAGGTCTGCCCCGAGGTTGGTGGTTGTAGCTTTAAAGCTCTAGGAGGAGTTACACCGTGTCTATACCGAATGCGACCTTTTTCCAGTGTAGACAGCATCACTGATTATAATGGGTTCTATAGTATTTTGTCGTGTCGCGTCGTGCCGTGCCGCTCGCTTCCGGTGTAGACATGGTCTTATCTTAGTGTTCAAATTTTGGCTCAGAACCCTGTTGAAAAAACCAGCATATGCTGGTTAGGTATGTTTTGAAGCATGGCTGCTGGTTTGAGCTTGTTTAAGTTGGTCCTTAGCTGGTTATGAGCTGGTTTAAGCTGGTCATGTGCTGTCCTAAGCTGGTCCTAAGCAACTAGCACCTGCTGAGGATCAGCTTAGGACCAGCACATTTCCAGCTCATGACCAGCTAAGGACCAACTTAAACCAGCAGCCATGCTTCAAAACATACCTAACCAGCATATGCTGGTTTTTTCAACAGGGAAGAAGAAGCAGCAGCAGCTAAAATAGTGGATCAGTAAGTTGGCTTTCTCAAGCAAACTTAATTAAAATGATCTTATTTGAGCAGCAACTCACTTTTCTACAGTGTAAAGTTTCCATTTTTTTTTTGTGTAATTTCCATTTCTAACTAAACTTATTAAAACCCGGGCCAACAAACAGGCAATATACTATGCCTTGACCCTCGCATCAGTTCACCCTCTTGTCTTATTTCAGCTGTAGATCCATAGACTGACTACTGGAGGTCCACATTCACAGACAAGAGCATTAAATACATTCCCTTTGATGTGGCCAATATATTTGCTTGGTTGAGGCACATACAGTGTGTTTACCAGTGGGTACTGTGTATACCCAGAATGCTTTGCGAAAGAGAAAGACCTAATACTAACCAGGTGAATGACTCACAGTGACTTTTACAAATGAAAGGCAAATGTAGCCTGAGGGGCAAACATAATCAAAACAAACAGCTGAAAAGACGTGTAAACAAAATACACAAACGGCCACTACACAGTCAGAAAAAAGCACCACAGTGCCTTTAAGGGTACTGCCACAGTGACAAGCTGTTGTACCCCTCAAGGAACAATGTTTGCACATTTTTTTCCTGAGAGTGTACTAATGAAATGTGTTCATCTGTACCTTTAAAGGTCTTTGTGTTCACCTACTTGCTCAAACTCCTCAAGGTCGACCTCTCCATCTCCATTTAAGTCAAACATCTTGAAGGCGATTTCAAAGTTCCTTTGAGGAGCTGTAAAGGGACAAAACCAGTTTGCAACTTAAAGGTATGTCACCATTTACTTTTACTAACACATAACAGATATTTCTGCATTTCTTAACAGTTTAAAAATATTACAATATATCAAAAATTTGTTTCACATTTTTTATGGTTCATTTGTAATTCTGTGGTGCTAATTATTATTGTACTATTTATTTTCATGTAGCATCAATATTTTGGTCAGGTACATTTTAGAACTTCTATCATTAGTTATGAAACATTGGTTTAGTACAGGTAAGTTTTTGTACTAATTGCGCATGTTTTTATATTTTTATTTTTTAAAGATATTTTGCTTTTGCAAGGATGGGAACATTCTAGAAGTTTCTATAACATTCTGGAATATTCTAACTTTTGGACGACTCACTTTTGGTAACTGTTTATGTAAAACTGCTGATAATGATACATAAAAAGCAATGTTTACATCAAGTAAAGATTCAGTTATATCAGTGCCAAATAAAAGCTGTTTAATCCTACATAAGGGTGGTCCACCGTCATGGTGGCAGCCATGATGAAATCACATGACCCAATACTGCTCACTTTAACTTCATAACTTCTCATTATCGTAAACTTCTAGTTGCGGAATAAACTACTAGGTGATAAACAGCCTGTGAATAAAGTAACTTCTATAATGACAACAGCAAGCGAAAAAATTTGCTCTTGCATGATGCTGGACATGCCTACACCTACAGGTATCAATATTGAGTCCAACAACACTGTCATAACAGCTAGCAAAACAAAAAGAGATTTAAAAGAAATACACAAAACACACTCAAGACACTTACTGGAAAGGACGGTTGTGAGGAAGATGTAGTCAGAGAAAGAGATGAGTCCACACTCCCCCAGTGTGTAGAAAATGCTGTCCTCGTCGGCAAACTTCTCTCTGTCCTGAGAGATCTTCTACAGGAGCCCACAGAGAAACAGAGAAGAAAGAGTCAGCAATGCTTCTGTTGAACACCATATGGAGCATCTGAGTCCTGTTTAAGAGCTGAGCTCCACGAAGTCTGAACAGAGCAGCAAAGATAAAGGAACTAGCATGCTAACACTGACACAGCACAGTACAATCATGCAAGTGATGCAGTCATACAAGACACGAGCAAAAATAAAACAACATGAAAAGGGTGTTAAAACAGACATTTCATAAGTGTCACGTATAGAGCAGCACATATGATAGGCTGTTTCTCAAAATCAAGTGAGCTGCCTACCTAGACAGCATTTTTGGACATCAAGCATGTTCAGACAATCAAATAAAGGCGGGCAAATCAAGTGGGTTGCTTACCTAAACAACATTTTTGAGCTCCATATGAGTGTTCAAATGCTCAAATGAAGTGTGTTTCCTACCTAAACAGTCATAATAGATGCATTTGGCCAAATCAAGGAGGTTGTCAACATTGTCAGAATCATATGTGTGTTCAAATGTTTGAATCAAGTGAGTTGACTAAACAGCAGTTCTTAACATCACAGGTGCACACCTAAACAGCATGTGATAAGGCTGCCTATGATGCTCAAAAATGCTGTCTATGTAGGCAGCTTACTAAGATTTGAGATGCGTCTTTATTGAACAACATAGTAAGTGCTACAATCACTGACTTAGCTTCACAAATCGCAAGATCACAGTATTTGACATTTCCGCAGTAAACAGGTTCACATTTTATGAGCATGAACGAAGGTGACTCCACAGTGGTGCGAACGCTGTTTTTTTTTTTTTACCTGTTTTTGGCATAGAAAGACATAAAAAGAATCAGAACCCTCAAGTGTGAAAGTACACACACATACACACACACAAAAAGCATGCCAGAGCTCAGCTTCTGCTGATGCATCTTGTTACCTCTGTCTGGGGTGGATCCCATCAGTGAGTAGAGGGGAAGAAAGAGCGTATTAAAACAACCTGACCATTGCACGGACAATCAGGCCCACCACACACCATAAGTGTATAAACACACCATTGCATCCACCCAAATCCAGCCCTTTTCACTTCATGCTAACACACAAACACGAATTTATGCAACATCCCACACATACTTCCCACTGAACACACACTCCCTTTGTGACAACATGATACAAGCCAATAACAAACGATACATGCTTCCATCGTCACTTTTGCATCAGTAAATCAAAATTAGGAAATGAGATTTCCCTCTGAAACTCTTCTAAGCAATGTTTGCTAATCGCTACTGCTATTACTCAGGGTCTAAACAGACGTCTAACCCTAATTATTGTACATCTATGAAATACTCATTTCTAAATTATTAGTCTCAAAATTCAGCAAATATCTGTGAAACATTTTTTGTATAATGATACTAAATGATTGACCTTTAACCCAGGCAACTTTCCTGCATAGTTTCATGTCTGTCGTATTACTCTCTGCTCTTTCTCATCACAATAAATAAACCGGAAGTGCTGTTAATGCCATCTTGCGGCAAGACACAATAGACGCTACGCTCCAAATGCATGGGTATTCTCTATCGGCTAGCCATTCAGTGTACATCTGCCTTACACTTGTTATTGAGGAGGATTATGGGATTGAATGAGGACAATCATTAATGTCCACTATGGTTTTGGACATCACTACAAATAGCTGTCCCCTCAAACAGTGCACTAGATAAAGGTATAGGGGATGATTTCAGACAGAAACTGCAAAGCAATGCCATAGCAACCACCCAGAACACCCTAGCAACTGCCTAGCAACACCATAGCAACCACCCAGAACACCCAAGCAATGCCATAGCAACCATACTGTCTTCATAACGTGAAAAACTAGCATAAGTGATTGCTTTTCTGCAGTTTTCGCTGTGAATTTGACCACAATGAGGTTCAAGTGTGTGCACTGGGGACAAGGTAAACACAGTTTATTTTTATACCAGCTCTGAAACTGGTCGGAGTGGGAATAGGCTCGTGCTGCAGGTGCTGCGGTAGAAGCTGACAAAAGCAAACGTGTGTGTGTGTGTGAGGAGGGGGCAGGGCTAATAACCTCCGAGCTAATTGTGTCCCTGCTGTCACCTTCAGAGACACTCAAGAGATGTAGTCTTATCCAATGTTAGTAGTAGGGATGTCAAACGCACCAGTACTTTAGTACCAAGTCGACATGACAACGTAACTATAACAAGTTTTTCTACAGTATCAGTAACACCAGGTACCAACTCAATTCAGTATCCACAATTTGAATAAAGAATGATGCAATTTCAGAGGAATTTCACAAGCATTTGTATCATCTACTGAACTTCTGGTATCATGACAACACTAAGAAAGGGTGCTCAGCAGATCGTGTGTTCACACTATGCTAAACTCTTTGTGCGGAGACACGATGAGAATGGAGAACGAGGGAAGAGGTGAACCTTTCCAGACGGTCTCTGCTGAGGAAAATTAAAAAGTATGTGGGTTGTGTGGCAAAAATGAGAAAGAAAAAAGCATCTAGCCAGAGAACCCGATGATGTATTCAGAGCTCACACAACTCTCGTTGGTGCTCATATCAAACTGGGCCTGAGTTTTCAGGCTGCCTCAGACTTGTTTTGAATTTTTGCCATTAATGTAAACATGTGTAAAACCTTTTTGCCTCCTGGAGCATTTTTTTAATTTTTAGAATATTTCTAACCATATAAATTCTATAACTGCTAGAATACATTTCAAATTGTTGGCAGTTCAGTGTTTGATTTGATGAGCTCTCTAGTGTGTACCATCGCTAGATTTTGATGGAACCACTCTTAAACATTTTCAATTTGTATGAAGTGCTCTGTCCATGTTTTCTGTTTACTCAGCCATTGTTTGTAAACTTTACTCAAACAACGTAGCACCGAAAAAAAAAAAAAACTAGTGCTGTCAAACGATTAATCGCGATTAATCGCATCCAAAATAAAAGTTTTTATTTACATAATATATCTGTGTGTACTGTGTATATTTATTATGTATATATAAATACACACACATACAGTATTTATTTTGAAAATATGTACATGTACATATTTATATTCATATAATTTATATTATATAAATATATTTAATATATAAACATAACATTTTTCTTAAATATATACATGCATGGTTGTGTATTTATATATACATAATAAATATACACAGTACACACAGATATATTATGTAAATAAAAACTTTTATTTTGGATGCGATTAATCGTGATTAATCGTTTGACAGCACTAAAAAAACATGCTATTAAAGCATACTGTTCACTTAGAAATATCTAGCCAAGTAAACAAGGCAGTAGATAGTTTGTTACACTTTCTAAAAGACTATGTCTATATAGCTAATACCCAAATGAACACATAGACCTCAATAATTGGTACACAATACACAACGACGGTAACAATCAGTGGATAGTGTCTGAGTATGAATGGGTCGTTTTGAGCAGAAAATGAACTCCAGATGTCACAAAACAGCAAGTTACTAAACATAACAAAAGCAACAGTGAAAAATTCAATTATTCAAGCAGCAGTGCATAATGGGAACACCAGTGTAATAACTTGTAATAATTTTACTCAAAGAATCCTTGTAAACATAAACAATTCCAAGTAAAATATACTTGAACTTTTTCGAAGTTTGAGTTGAGTACTGATATAGTAACTTTTTTAAATTCTTGCCTGAACTAAATTATTTGATGTAGAAATTACATTAGTTTTTCCATAGTATTTACTTCACCACAGAATATTTTTTTTATCGGTGTATCTGGTTTTACTACCAAAATGACACTTGAGTCTGTTTTTGAGGTGCAAAGTACATGATTTCTGCTGAGATAAGTTACTTTAGGATAATTAAACATTTTTAATTAAAACATTCTGCCGATGAAAATATGGAAAAAAAAAAAAAAAAACTACGGTAAGATATTAACAATGAAATAATTAGGGATGCACCGAATGTTCGGCAACCGAAATTATTCGGCCGAAAATAGCAAAAAAAAGCTCTTTCGGCCGAATAAGCGAAAAGAACGAATAAATTGTACCGAACAATGACGTGACGCGATCAAATAGCAACCAGCGCAGAGTGAGAGGCGCGCACTCTTTATTATGCAGCACACAAGTCAGCAGTGTGGAAGCATTTAAACTGTCGGAGAAAGACGCAAAAATCATTACAAGCACCAACAGCGAGAGACTGTTTAGGACTGCATCGCATGTCTTCAATGAGTAGAGGAAGGGTGTGATTGTTGCTGGTTACTGTATGATGATTGAAATCGTGAAATGGCCTTAAACAATTAGTAAATAAACTGCAGAACGTTATGTTTTCTAATACACGCAAGCATTGCATGTATTCTGACAGTGCTTCACGAACTCACTGCGCTATCTGCTTGTTAACCAGGGTTCAAAGTCCAAAGCCCGAGGAAAATCTGCGCTGAAACAGTGTTACTCGTCAGTTGCTCAGTCACATTTTTATGAATTTTTACAAGGCATGTGACAATGCGATATGTACGATGTATTCATAATGAGACTCATTTATAAATCTGCTGTCAACAAAAAGCATTAAGGTCTTCCTGCGCGTTTCCGCCAAAATAAAAGTTGAGAAAGCAAAAACTCGATCAACATTTATAAATGTTAGTATTGTAATTTTACTGTTGTTCTGTAAAATAAAATAAAAAGTAAGACAGTAATAATTATAATAATCATTACAACAGCTCTGTTAATAACATTCACACATAGTGTTCAAATTAGGACCTGTAATATTTTCTAATGTTTTAAAAAGAAGTCTCTTCTCAGCAAGGCTGCTTTTAATTGTACAGTAAAAAATACATGCCTGATTCAAGAAGCGGGTCTGATGGCCAAAAAATATTATTTTACTAACTCATTAATTTGAAGTTAAATTGTGCTTTGTTGGTATAGCGTCTGCTAGAATGTTAAAAATGTTCAGTGTTAAATATTTTTTAATTGTTGTTTTGTAATTTATTTTCCTCTTTGAAAAGCAAGACAAAACAGTAAAAAGCACATTTTGGCTATTTAATTTATGCAATGGTGAAAACAAATTGGCAAAAATACATGGGGGAAAAAAACTCGAAAAAACGTGTTCGGTATTCGGCCTTCAGCCCAGTGTTTCATTTTGTTCGGTTTCGGCCCAGAATTTTCATTTCGGTGCATCCCTAGAAATTATGTTTGTAGATGATGACTCAGCTGATGTTGATTCAGCTGATCCAACAACACTAGGATGGGCATTGACCTACTTGAGCTGAAAGAGCTGAACAGCAGTTTGAACCACTTTGCTAATTAGCTTACTCAAACGCATCTGTCACGTGTATATAGCTCGGTTTCTTTTGTTCTAGTTTTCCCTCCACTAGTTTGTTTCCTTAGTTTAATCAGCTCGTCACCTGTTTTTGTTCTCCCTAATTATGTTCCTCTGATTATTTAAGCCCTGTATTTTCCTCTGTTTCCTGATCTTGCGTTAATGTTGGATAATGTTAGATCTTTGTAGAATCCCTAAATACTCTATTTTTTGTATTATACTCCTTCGTCGTGTGCTTAATCCCTGCAAGCACGAAACAGCATATTACTACAGTAAACTCATTATAGTTCAAATTATCACAAGGATAGTTTTCATATGTTGTACTTTATGTTGATAAAACGTATATGTTTGAGTTCAAGGCTTATATATTTTTTGTCTTCTCGGTTTGATACATTTTTGTAATTTTCCACATTATTATCAATTGTAAACTATTGCATCCAAGTGCAGAGTAAAATGAACAGATTTCTAAATATAAGACGGTCATGATGAAATGTTGACTAAATTTTAAGGACACTCTTAAAATCTTAAAAATGCATTTTTGCATGACATCACTTGTTGTCGTCATAAATTATGGTTAGCTTACAAGTGACACTTAAATAAATTGGAATTATTCAGGAATCC